GTGATGTAAGAGCCATGAATTGTTGGCAAAAAGTTCAGGTCATTTTCACCTAACTTTTTCATGCAGACTTTTCAGCACTTCCAAATAGTAAACTTTGTTACCTGTTTGTCCAGTTGGCACAAATTCTTAATGAATAATCCCTCTGATATCAAAAAAAGGATAGCAACATCATTGGCAACAAGTTCACGAACTTAATTGTCAGACCTCGTATAGGTTCGATTCTTTCATCACAGAACAAACAAATCTCTGTAATAACCCTAGAGATAAAGTTTAGTACTAAAGTATAATGTCTAGAATAATCTATAAAACCTAAAGTTATGGGCATCTAATTTTTAGCTCTAATGACGTGCAGTATTATGAAAGATCTCACAGCTTGTCTTTGTCACCTTTCCTTTTGATGCATCTTCCTTTACTTCATGTCTCCCTCTTCAGCTTTCCTGCCATCTCACTAGGATTCTGGAGCCCCGTCTATGCCTGAATGTCCTTGGGTCCCTTTGGTCTTTCTCTATCGGACCTTAAATATCAGCTTAATTATGAATTTCTTATGAAAATATTACTTTATCTTTTCTACCCAAACCTAACTGGTGTTTATTTCTTCCATTGTAAACTAGCAAGTAATACAATTATTGGTGAAATGATTCATGCTAAGATCGTTACAGTTACTCCTAAGTGAGCATGTAACCTCTAGGGCAGTACTTGTTTTTAAGCAAAGTATTGCCTAAACCTCAATTAAAAGTGAAATTTTATATATTAGCCCATATTGTGCTTTTGGTAGAGTGCTTTCAGGCATTAGCATATATCCTAAGTATCCCTTAAGCCCACCATCTTGGCTAATCACCTGCTCCACCTTCGCTAAAAGGCAGCCCTAACTCCAGCTTCAAGATGTATATTAGAGAGCCTGGTTGCTGTCAGCCTACCAGGCATGCAGCCAAGTGGCTATGAGCCTGCAGGCTTGGGTGCCAGGATGTCACGGGTTTCTCTCAAAGTTGTTTGGTAAAGTATGGACTAAGATTACCTACAATATCTGCTTTCTTCTCCTTACAGGAATGTGTCATGAGAATAAATGAGATAATTTAGGCAAAGCACTTTGAGATCCTAGGAAGAAAATGCATTTTATTTGTTCATTATTGTTGTTTTTAGTATTATTAATAAATGCTACATTGAAGTTGGCCTGAAGGTAAGGTCTAACGCTTTACTATTATTGTATTTGAATATAAAGTTTCTGTAAAATCGTTTCCAGCTTGCTTTCAGACTACCAGGATATGGTGGGATCTTTCATTTTATTGAATTCCAAGTTGTGGAATAGCTTTCCTTTCTAGTCTGTAATGTAAACAATTTGCTTTGTAAGTAAACGGCATTTTTCAGAGTTGACATGCTGTAATTTCCAATAAAAATGTAAGCTAAATTGATGAATTCATTAGAAAGCATGTAGTAAGGTGATACTCATTTATTTTCAAGGAATGAATACTACATGAATGCCTAGTTTGTTTTCATTTTTATTGTTTTCATTCTATGCAAAACAATGAAGAAAACACAAATAGCCTACGGAGGGGGGGGGGGAATAGACAAATAAGTGCTCGTGAACGGGGAATGAAAAAAGAAAAACTTGCCACAGCAAAGACTATTCATTTGACTGCAATCGTTCCCTTTTTGTGCCTGTACAGAAGGCAGACCTTTTTTCTGCTCTGAGGAATTCCTGCGTTCCTGTTTTCTGAGATTAACGCTCCCACTTCCCCAGTTGCCTAAACCCTACAGAGAGACACTAGTCAAGGCTGTTCAACTTCGGAGCATAAACACAGGCTCTAAACAGCAGGGATTCGGAACCATTGTTCTAGCCTCATGACAGGCTTCAAGTTTTTCTCTTTAATCTTCTCCTTCTTCGTTCTCATTGGATCATTTGTATCTGACAGGGAACAGCCTGCTTCCTAGAACAGCGATGTCCTTATTTATCCCTGAACCAGGCCCTCCAGGAAGCAGAGCTTCCTTTTCAAGGACAAATTAGTGATACTGTTTCACATTTGACATTTAGGGATTGACAAAAGATAGACAGTTTCCCTTCATTCAGAATTTTTTATCCTTTGAAGAAATAAGCTGAGTTCCACAAAGTGTCACAATGTGTTCCTTATTTGAAATGTTAATACATTATAAAAAGAATTGTAATGCACCAAAATAAAGTCTTAGATAAAATTCATATAATAGGACAAAAATATAACAAAGTTTCTGAAATAATTATTATATAAGCATAAGGATCCAATTCTATTTGAATTGAAATGTATATATCAAATGATACTCCCCTAAATATTAGAAAATGATATGCATTATCTTTATGAATAGTTATAATGAGAATACCATTTCATGCCTGTATTCTAATAGCACTATCAATATAATGTATTCATATTATTACAGTTAGAAATGTTAATTCAAATCTGCATTACTTTATCAGAAATGTAAAAAGGATGCCAAAATGTGTTTTAAGAAAATGAACCCAAGATCACAGACATTTGTAGTTTATATTTCCAAATAGTTGGCAAAAAAAATAGAGAGAGAACACATATATTTTGTGAAAACGGTAAGTAGTTTAAAAATGTGTGGGGATTTATTATTATAAGCAAGGAAATTTATTTTCCTATGTGCTTGAGATAATTTTTTGTCAGGAAATTACCTAGGAAACCACTAATTCTCTTAGACCCCCTAGAGTCTCTTGTAGTTCAACACTCCACAAACTTCAGGACATTTTTTGATGTCTTCTAAATCACTTATTGTGGCTAGATGCTCACTGTCAAGTTTCTAAACCAAAGATTAAGGAGCGGTAGTGAGGGAAGGGTCTTTGAGGATCTCCTACTATGCTCCTTTCTACTGGACATGACTGCTATCTGCCGAGAAGGGATTTGAGGGCGACCTTTCTCCAAGCCTCTTTTATAGTATGACTAGTTCTGTGTTGGGGACAGAGTGTTGCAATAGCTGTTGACCTATGCTCAAAATGTGCAAATTCATAAGATTTATTTTTGAAGGACCTTTAATTTAGTATGATAGTTCTGTTTTTGAATAGTGGATCCATGGATATTGGAACAGAAACACACACGTGGGGATGTATACACATATGTGCAAGGGGATAGTGAAAATACTGGCTTGATTGTAACTGTGTGTCTATGTTAGAGAATAATTCCTTATCCAACCTGGGATAGGATACATTAAACCAGATCATGACAAGTCATGAAAGCTAGACAGAAAAGTTTACTCTTGTTGTAGCGGGTAATAGGACACTATTACAGATTATAGAACAGGAAACACTAGCAATGCTTTGGAAGATTAAACCAGTGATAGGAATAAAAACTTTTTAGAGACACGGTTCTGGAAAAATCAACCACATTTTATGTATTGACAAGATAATGAATGTATTGATGGCATGAGGAAATAATGGGCATATATCATGCCTTGAAGGGTTTGTCACTGCTAGAAAACAATCAAGCAGTGGAAGAGAAAAACAATTGGTAGACTCTTTCCCCCTTTCCTTTGATTCATTCAAAATTGAAAGATTTCGGGCCGGCTGAGTAGCACGTTAGTTAAGAGCTGGCTTGGGATGCCAGAGGTCCCCGGTTCAGTTCCCACATATGAGGGCCAGTGATACTGCCTTCTACAGCTAAGATGCTGAACAACAGCTCAACCTGGAGCTGGGCTGTCATGAGTCACTGGCGATGAC